TCCATGGGATGTAGAGTACAGCATAGGGAATAGAGTCAATGGTATTTTAACAGCTATATACAATGTCAGACGGGTAGTAGATTGCGGGGGGAGTTATCACTTTGTGAAGGGTGTAAATGTCTATTACATTGCCTTGTACACCTGAAACTAATTTTTAAAATTTAAAAAAAAACAAAAAGAAAGAAAAGAAATTGAAGGCTTCTGAAATCTCCCAGAGAACCCTGCTTTCATGTCAGCCACTGTTATCCTGAACACAAATAGTTTGAAAACCACAGAACATTCACAATTTACATAATAACAGTTCGTTACTTGATAGTAATAAGCCCAAGATGGAGCCAGGATTCACACCCTAAATGCCTGGCCCCAAAGCTTCATGCTTGGCCACGAATCCTTCCCGCTTCTCCCGGCCATGGTGCCTCTTTGGTTTCGCACTGCCAGGCCGAGGGAACAGCGTGGATGGCAACAATCCAGGCAGGAGAGGTGCGTCTGGACCAGGCGGCAGCAGTGGAGGGAGAAAACGGGCTCAGGAAACCTCAAAGCAGAGCTGGTAGGATTTACTGATGGCTCAGCTGTAGGGGGGTGAAAAAAGAGGCTTAAAGGATGATGCCAAAATTTGGGGCTGGGTCCACTGGAAGAATGGAGTTCCATTTTCTGAAATGAAGAAGGCTCTGGAAAGAAGAGGTTCAGATCTGGTAAGGTAGATTATTTCACATGTGTTCGGTCTGAGCTGCCTCCAGTGACGATGTCAAGTGGGCCTTGTGACATGAACAGCTGGAGTTCAAGGAGACATCAGTTTGGGAGCCGTCAGCCCAGCAATGTCATTTAAGCCATGAGCTAGAAAGGATCCCATTGGAAGTGAATGTAGGTGAGGAATCAAAGAGGCCAACGGCTGGTGTGAGGAGCGTCTCACATTTAGAGGCTGGGTTGGGGGAAGCAGCCTAAGGCATGCCCAGTGAGCGAGGAAAACCGAAAGGAAGATGTTCTGGAAGCCAAGAAGGGAGCCATCCGCAGTGTTGAGTTAACCTCCTTCAAGTAGCGGAGGACATAGAGGCACTGCGATCGGTACTTTTAAATACAAAGAAGAAAGATAAATATGTAAGATTTCAAAAGGAAACCCACTATATTGAAATATGTTATCCAAATA